CTTCACAAAGAGGTCAGGGTCCATGCCAAGAAGTAATGACAACCTCACAAATGACCTGGCTTCTTGAAAGATGTATTAATTACAGCCTATCATTTTACTGTGGAGCGAGCAAAGAGGATGAGAGCCCAGAGAATGAACAAACATTGGAGCTGTCAGAAAGAGACAACTAGGAGCCTTGTGCCATACTTGTTGTCAGAGGAAATGCTGAGATCGCATCCCAGATGCTGAAGTTGGCATCAGCCACCTTCAATAAGAACCAGTGGTTTAAACTGTTCCTTAATTCTACACTTGAACTTTTAAACCCCAGAGAGGAAGTGCAGCAGGGAACAGCAGATGTTTTCAGAGCAGAACTAGGTGCTAATCTATGGCACAACACCCAGGTTTGTGCAAGTGACAGCAGATAAGGACCATTGTGATTGGCAAGGTAGCTCTGAAGTCTCATGCCAAGCTCAAGGCTCCTACCTAGGGCTTGGTATAGAAAAGACAGAATAGGAATAATGGAAATTGCAGGGGACTTGAATAAGATGTGGTATAAAAATCCACTAATATTCCAGGAGTCCCAGTTAAATATTCAACTAATTTTTCATTACAGACATGAATATTGTAGGATTCAAAAAGTAACTCTGTCATGTACCACATGTGTCTTACAGGATCATAATACTCCTAAGGATTTAGTATCTCTCTGGTCCTTGTAACTTATTTGGGAGCCGAGATCCTGTTGTCAATCCTTTAGGTTCACCTGCATGCATATAATTTTGATGTATTTTAAAATATATAGAACACACATAATTTTAGTATCATTCTGTCTAGACAATGAAGCCTCTTCATAGAGGATGGTCAGGATAACAAAGCAAGGCCACCATCTTATTACAAATTGTGGAACTCTGAAGGTAATCTTCAAGTGCTCTGAAGATCCACTGCTGACCATCCCAAGTAAATGCAAATTGGCCTGGATATGCAACAGCTAAGGGAATTAAAACACACCTACAAATTAGTAAGGTTTAATTGATCATGAGAAAGCCCTATCATTTGTATCAACTGTTTGGCTTCTTCATCATGGAGGACCTCCATGGCATGGTGCTCCCCTAGAGCTCCCCAATCCGTATGGGTTTTTCCAAGCTAGGTCAAGCTGGTTACACCCTGCCTGGTTACACCCCACCCAGATTCTGGTAGACTGCTTGAACTGTAGCTCTGGCCACTCATATTCTCTCCCCTGCCTTCCTCTCATCTCCTGGCTCCCCGACCCTTCCTGCTATCTCTGTCATGTGTTGTTTCAGTGTAAACCCAAGACTAGAACAAATTCAACCTTCAGTATACCTTTCTTCGAGAAAGAAATGCACTCAGTTTAGTCTGGATGCCTCGTTGATCACAATTAGTGAAATTTGGAGTTTTTTGCCTGAACTATTTGATTCCTCTGTTCACTCACTGCTGCCCATTACCCATGGTGCATTTTGAGATTTGTCATGAATGGACTTGGCTCCAAGAAATATGTACCTGAATAGCAGACTGGTGAGTTCATAGTTTGGTAGGAAGCCTCCAGTCCATGAAGGTCCCTCACCAGCAGCAACTTTGATCACCATGTCAGAGAAGTGGCTTAGGTGGTTTCCTCCATAACAGCAGTTCCTGTGAAGACCACTTGTTCCTTCATAATTTCTGCTCCTTCTTTTAATCCTTGGTGAAACACTGACTAGGTTCAAAAAGCCTTCTCAGAACTCATAAAAAGTGTTCTGTTTTTACCAGTTTTTTTCTAGGAGCTCTAAGAGCTCAAGTTTTGCTACATTTGTATTTTAGTAACTGTCTACAATTCATCAATTGTTTTTCCTCTCCTAATCTCCTACTGTGCATGTTTTAGTACCTTAAAATATTAATTTATATTCTGGTCTCCATCACTGAGATCCTCAAAAGCCTCTTCTAATTGAAGAAACCAATCATGTTTTAGCATGGAACTCACCAGTCACTAAAGCCCAATAAAACATACAAAGTCTCTGATTAATTAATTCATTTTAAAAAAAGTTTCTTCTGAGAACGCAGTCCTCATGAACTAGGCACCAAAAATTAGTTTGTAAGCCTATTGTTATTTTTTCATCAGGTTGTTTATTCAGGACTATCTGACTCTTCCCATGGAATTTAAGTTTTTGAATTCCAGAAAGGACTCTTAGCACAGGTCTAACTTTGACTCTCTTTTTCTTAGATCTTGCCAACTATAAGAAATGATAAGTTAATATCTCCATCTCATTTCCTCTTTTATCCAACCAGAGGCCAATGCTCAGCAAGTTAGCAGAACTTTCCTTTGCATTTATAATTGCTGCCTTACAAAGGCAAGTCCTCACTGACCAGTCATCTTGCCATGATATGACATTTTACTACAAATAGATTTGGTTATGCTATCTCAGACCCAATTTATGGATATTTTCTTCCTTTACGTTTTACTCTCAGGGACAAAAAATGTTCTAAATCTTTAACCTTTCTTGGGTCAACTATATTCTCATGTGGTAGGCTCCACTCATCAAGCAAGCATGTCACTCCATATAATACAGAGGAAAATAGCCCCATTTGGATTTCCCCTGCAGACTACCCACTCAGACTCTTCCTTGTATGTTCCATCACCCAAAACAAGGCATATGCACCCTATGGTATAGCAAAAATGTATATAACCCCATTATCATATGAGGAAAGGTTGTTATTTTTTGGTTTTTATTATTATTTTAATTTTAAATAGCTTGTTTTACATGTAAATCCCAGTTCCCTCTCCCTCCCCTCCTCCCCACCCCCCCATATCCCCCAGCCTCCCACCCTATTGCCAATTCCTTCCACATAGGGGATATCTAGAGTCTATCATTTCACTCAGGGTAGGGTCCAGGAACTCCTCTAAGAGTCCAGGCTAAGAGAGCATCCCTCTTTGAGCTATGGACACATGATGTCTGTTTGTATTCCAGGGATAAACACTGATCTACTGCTCAGGGCCCCATAGGTTGCCCAGGCCTCCTCACTGACTCTCACATTCGGGGGGTCTGGATCAGTCCCATGCTGGCCTCCCAGCTGTCGGTCTGGGGTCCAAGAGCTCTCCCCTGTTCAGATCAGCTGTCTCTCTGGTTTTGCCAGCCCATTCTTTGCCAATTTGCTCATCGCTCCTCTCTCTGTGTCACTGGGCTCCTTGGGTTCAGTTCAGTGTTTAAGTGTGGGTGTTTGCCTCTGCTTCTGTCAGTCACTGGATTAAAGGCTCCAGGATGGTTATAGATATTAAGCTCATTATCAGGAATGGGCATTCGAGGTGTCTCCACTATTGCTTAGCTTGCCAATTGGTGTCATCCCTTTAGATCACTAGAGGTCACACTGGTGCCTGATCTGTATTCGATCCTATGATTCCCTCTCCCCACTATTCTACCCCCCCACTCAACCTTCCTGTTCCCCCATGACCTACTCTCTCTTCCTCTTTTCCCCCTCTCTTCTTCCCAGCTCCCCCTCCCCCCACCCCTCGCCATGTTCCCCATCTGTTCAGAGGATCTTGCCTCATTCCTCTTCTCTTGGGTACCATGCATATCTCTTAGGTTGAGGAAAGGGTGCTATATCAAGATTTCTGCCATGGATGCATACCCTTTTAGAGATCAGCTTCAGGTGCATGTGTCAGCATCCCAACTCATCCTTGGTTCATGACCATATTCCCTGATCATATATCAAGTGAATTGTGTGTAATTTTTTTTCTCAGAAGAGAAGACATACATAACTATTCATCCTGAGAGAGAACTGATAATGGATCAACAAAACAAATCTACCTAAGAACAGTTCGGTGAATCAGAAAGTTACTGGAGTTCTTTACAGGTGTCTTGGTGAAAGGATGCTTAGGGGAGAAGGGATGAGTCAAAAGCAACTGACCTACTGAAAAGCCCATCCAACCTTGGGTGATTTTAAAGAGCAAAGGGACTTGTGTACACAGGTAAGCACCGGAGAAACCAGGAAAGTTAAACACACAACTCACCTCTTCAATGGAATAAGGTGTATAGCTGCTTTTCCTGGAATGATAGGCATGATGTTATTTTACAACCTGGTGATCCTCTGCTATATGATGAGACAGGTTCTGCCTTATCTCTAAGAATTTGTTTTACTTATTCAAGATCTTTCTTCCTAAAACTGAAGCATTGCTGTTATACCATAAAACTTACTTTTATGAGTGAGGTCACTTGTGCTTTACAACAGTCTAAGTGATCTCTATGTTATCTTAGGACCAGGTCAGTCCTGACACCCACAGACTTTATGTTTACCTCAGTCAAACTCCCTAAACCTAAACCTTGGGCTTTATCTCTTTGTCAACAGTACCCATTCTTGTAAAAGAAGCCAGATGCACTTGTAAGAAATATCAATGTAAATATGTCTTAAATTGTAGTACACTTGAAACTGAGTTAATTGTTATCTGAATACTTTTTTTCAAAATTGTGCTGTGCTTAAATATGGCTAAAGTAAAATGATCTGGGCCAGATCATTAGAAATCCTGATCCAGCACCAGGTACAATAAAATTGAGTTGAGCCAAGTTTCATTCTTATCTCTTTGTGAATCGATTTTTCCCTGCCTGCAGGGGCATCACCACATCTGGTATCCAACGTGGGTCCTGCAGCTCTTTGTACAACTTGCAAGCAGCTAAACAGGTAAGAGGCTCTCCTCTAGACAGTTCAGCTGGCCACAGTCTCCTTCCCCATCAATTGGTTAGCTGCTCCTGTAACATTAGGTAGGGGCATTTTGGAAACACTTTGGGAATACTCAAGTTTCGGATTTCCTGGACATGTGAAGTGTTTACCATTTGAGACTCAAGAACCTCTCCACATGTTCTTGAGGGAACTTTTCAATTCAGAGGAAACTGCTAAAAACTACATTTCAGCTGCCAAATTTCTTTGGAAGTATGGCAAGTATTTACACAGCAGAGGTGGAGGTTTGTGTATTTTCTACTTTATGGGTAGCCAGGTTGATAACTCCCCAGGGTTTAAAAGCATCCTTGCTTGGTCAGACCTTGGAAACCTTTCTGATTTTTGTGAGTGAATCTGCTCTGCGGAAACTCTCTTTGCTTCAGCAAACAGCTAGAATAGTTGCAGCATGGTCGCTTTGTTCTTCCCTCCCTACTGTCTATAGAGTATAACTCTCTCCTCTTATCCCTCACAGCTAGCTACTCCAGAGCTCAGTGATCTCATCTTCTTTGGCTTTTTCTTCCAACCCCAAGTCACTGACATTCATAAGATGAAGACTAAAACCTGCTCCCTTCTCATCATCATGTCCCTTCTTCAACTGATAGTCCCAGTGAATACGGAAGAGACCTTAGACTCTGTCATGAAGAAGCTCAAGGAAGCTCTCAATCGTCTAGGTAACCGATGGGGTAGGGGAACACTGAGCTTAATCAGTGTTCATGCCTCCTATTCCTAAATTATAATTACATCTCTATTCCATTCGAAGATCCAAGCTTTATTTAATCAATTCCCTGTCCAGGACTTCCTTTATTATCTTATCCTCTTTTGAATTCGTGGTTAAATGCTCCATTTTGTTTGATAGTCAATAGGCCTAAGAGGGTGGGTGGCACCTGTAACTTATGAACACATTTTGAAAAGGTGTAATATAAAGCTTTAAGTTAGTTCATTTTAATTTTTACTGTCATTGTATATGGTAAGCACAACTATTATTTTGACTTCACATATGAAGATAATAATTCTTAAAATTTAAGTCATTAGCCTACTCATGAATATAGTGGCATCTCCAAGATAGAGGATGGCTAAGGAAGGGAGCTGTGAGAACAAGAGATTATGGAAATAACCCTTATTCTCTTACCTGCAGAGCATCCTCCCTCCACTGTGACTAAGAGTCTCTCCTGTACTACTGTCAAAGCTTCGGGTACATTGGCTTCCTGCCCACCTGGTGAGTAACTCATATGGGGAATTTGTGAGTGAGGAGCCCTGTGATTCCCCGCCACACACACACCCCATCCAGTGCTCTAATGCCTATATCTTCCAATACACCAGACCGTTACTGCCATGGTGCAGAGCCATAGACCCAGGCACATAGATATCCCTTCATGATTTTCAGTTACCTTAAGGATGCTACTGAAAACTCTGTGTCTCTTCTTGTCACTTCTTCCTTCATGTCCACATATGACATTCTACTTGGACTTCAATTGTGTGGTCATAGATATGGCCCTCTTTTCTTTTCAGTCATACTCCCTTGTGTTTGTGGAAGAGGTGCCAGCACAAAAGCAATTTGCCATCAATTGAATGACAGTGGAATTCCAAGTCTTTTCATTTAAATGATTTTGTTTCTTGAAGATAACTCTCAAAATTTATTTAGTTTTATACCCCCACATACCCAAGATATATGCATGAGCTTCCTAGTTAGGGATTCTTAGGGTCTGAGGTCTCTGATGTCTTTATCTCACACAACCATGCAGGTATGATTGCTACTGGTTGTTCTTGTGGCTTTGCTTGTGGATCTTGGAATGTCCAGAACGAAAATATTTGCCACTGCCTGTGTCCAATCATAGACTGGACTGTTGCCCGCTGCTGCCAACTGAGAAAATGAGGAAGCTGAGAATCCAGTTTTGAAATGATTATTCTAACAAAACTACGATCCCACCCAGGAAATCTGACTCATTGTCCTTGTGATGAATTTATATTACACAGTAATCCTGCTTTTTAAGCAATAAAGACAGATTTGAACTCATCTATGTTTATATCTTCAATGTTATTAACCCTGGCTTGTAGTGCCTGTTGCAAGAAAACACTTTTAGTATCTCAATGGTTACATCTCACTGTATCTGAGATGGGTGATCAAGAAATACATGAAAATTAAGGAAACAATGAATCTTCCCATTCAATTCTCCCATTCCCCCATTTAATAAAAAGTGTAAGTACATTGGATGGCATGAAATATAAAGGAGTGGAATAGCAAGTGCTTTTATGGGAACTGACACCTGCAGCAGTGAAATTTGGAAGACTGCACAGTGTGGGCAGATGGGGGAAATTTAAAATAACTACGTTCTAACTTTTCAGCACGTATATGTACTCCTTCCAATTCAAGTTCCTGTGATGGCTTTAAGGTGACTTCTTTCCCAATCACCGTGTCACATATGTCAAAATAACACCACAGTCCTCACTTGTCACTGCGAAATACAATCCTGCATCTTACTGGGGCATTAGAAATTTACAAAATTCCAAAGCAAAAAATAACTTAAATTATCAATCACAATATTAAGAAAGTAAGAAAGTGAATATGTATTAAGTGCTCTGGAAGGTTGGGAGCTTCTAATTTTGAGCCTTCACAGGAGGATATAATTCATGTGACAACTTTAGACTGAGAAGTAATTTTAAGTACTAAATAGTGGTGTGATTATTGATAATTTAAAAAGAATTAAAAAGAATTAAAATAAATCAACTAGCCGGGCGGTGGTGGCACATGCCTTTAATCCCAGTTCTCGGGAGGCAGAGGCAAGCGGATCTCTGTGAGTTCCAGGCCGGGCTGGACCGACAGCCTCCAAAACAATACAGAGAAACCCTGTCTTGTAAAACCAAAAGAATAAAAAAAATAAAAAATAAAAATAAATCAACTAGCCGGGCGTTGGTGGCGCACGCCTTTAATCCCAGCACTTGGGAGGCAGAGGCAGGCGGATCTCTGTGAGTAAGAGGCCAGCCTGGTCTACAAGAGCTAGTTCCAGGACAGCCTCCAAAGCCACAGAGAAACCCTGTCTCGAAAAAACCAAAAAAAAAAATCAACTACAACTACAATAAAAATCTTCTTTTTCCATCATCCTAATTATGGCAGTAGGTTTCTCAATGCTTAAAACCAGGAAGAACCCACTTGTCATATCTAAAACTCATATAAAATAGCCAGAAATGTCACTGCATACTAGTAATCCAAGAATTAATGAAACATAGATGGACATATTCCTTGGACTTATTGCCTAGTCAGAATAACTGAACTGTCTCAAGCTTCAGGCAAGCTTCAGGCAAAGCGAGAGAACAAAGTCAAAGTGGACAGAACCTGAGGACAATTCCAAAAATTGCCTTCCAGTCAGCCTCCCACACACACACAGACACAGACACAGACACAGACACACACACACACACACACACACACACACACACACACACAGACATGGTGGAGGAAGAGAGGTAGGAAGGTAAGGAGGGAGAAAGAGAGAGGGAGAGAGGAAAGGAGAGAGAGAGAGGAAAGGAGAGAGAGAGAGAGAGAGAGAGAGAGAGAGAGAGAGAGAGAGAGAGAGAGAGAGAGAGAGAGAGAGAGAGAGAGAGAAATGTTGGATTTAAGGTCCAGAATGCAACTGTGGAAGGAGCATTTTCCTCCAGGGTAAGTTAAGTTATTGGGGAGGAGCTCAAGACAGAACAGCTTCCCGTGCGTGAGCTAAGGACACATGAGATGCTTTAAAGTTATTTATTTTTATATCATTATATTAATATTAATATGAGACCTTATTGATAAATAATAAAATAGCAGTTAGAGGTGAATAATGATGTCTGTACATCAAGTTAACATGGGGAAAATGTCCTGGTTGGGTTGTGTCAATCGACACAAGCTAGAGATATATTTAGGTGGAGCTGTGGCTCTCCCTTTGAATGAGGATACCTTATTGTTTAAATGACTAAAAATTTAACTTATTTAAACCCTGTGCAGTCCAAGTTCTGAGGCCAAATTTGCATTAGACTTTCTTACTTGTTTCCCAACATTTCTTTTTTTTTTTTTTTTTTTTTTTTTTGGTTTTACGAGACAGGTTTCTCTGTGTTGTTTTGGGGGCTATCGGTCCAGCCCAGCCTCGAACTCACAGAGATCCGCCTGCCTCTGCCTCCCGAGTGCTGGGATTAAAGGCGTGCGCCACCACCGCCCGGCTTCCCAACATTTCTTTTACACTTATTTTGCCTCAGGGTCTACTCAGTTACAAATTTCTTGTATTGTCCTCTTGATGCAAGTGGCAGACTTAGAACTTGACATAAAATTTAAAAGTTGAAAAAAAATTTTCCAAAAGCAAACATTTTTGTCATCTACCAGTTTTTCTCTATTTTGAACAACTTGTTGCTTAGTCCTCAAATCCTAGTAGGATTCCAGGCTGTACTTCACAAAGAAATCAACGTCCATGCCAACAAACAGTGCCATCCCCCAAATGATCTGGGTCATTTCTAGGTTTACTTAAATATACGATATCAATTATTGCTGAAACAGTGAAGTGAATGAGAACTGAGAACGTGACCAAAAATTGCTGGAAATAGGGAATTGAGACATTATGGAGCCTTGAGCAAAACTTGATGTCAACAGAGAATGCTGGGATCACATCCCAGATGTCTCAGTTCACATCAGACAGCTTACACAAGACACAGATGTTCTAGCTGTCCTTTATTTTATACTAAAATTCTAAACACCGGAGAGGAAGCACAGCAAAGAAAAGTGGAAGTCTTGAAAGTAGAGCCAGCTCCTAGATGCTAATGTTTGGGCATAATACCCAGATTGGTCCAAGTGAGAGTAAATAGTGGCCATTCTGTTTTGCAACACTGCCATAAAACTTGGTGTCTAGCTCCTTTCTAGGGTTTGACATGGAAAAGACAGAATAATAATTATGGAGTCTGACTACAGAGGAATATGTGTACCACCCATGATGAGTATGCTTAGAGATGTATTATGAAAACATGAGCATTTCTCAGAATTTGTTGTCTTAACTCCTGCAGGTTCCTGCTTAGTTTTATACTAAATATCAATTACCTAGCAGGAGACAAGGGAGTCAACATCTATCACCATACACCTGTTTTAGAAACAATTTTGTTTAGGACAATAAAAGCTTTGAAGTTGAAAGTGAGTAGCCTTCGTGTTTTCAAGCAGTCCTGCATCTAAAAATGAGACCAGCTTTGCTGTTTTATTTTTATGTTTGTGGTATTGCAGACGATATGATAGTCTATGTAAGTGACCCAAAGAATTCTACCAGGAAACTCCTACAGCTGATAAACACCTTCAGCAATGTGGCAGGATACAAAATTAACTCCAAAAAATCAGTAGTCCTACTATATATAGACAATAAAGGGGAAGAGAAAGAAATCAGAGACATATAACCCTTTACAATAGGCACAAACACCACAAAATATCTTGGGGTAACTCTAACCAAACAGATGAAAGACCTGTATAACAAGAAGTCAGAATTGAGACTTCTTCCTGATGGATTTTTCCTATGATGAATATGAAATGACCTTCTTCATCTCTTTTGAATAATTTTTATTTGAAGTCTCTTTTGTTAGATAATAGTATAGATACACCTGCTTTCTTCTTATATCCATGTCATTGGAAAGTCTTTTCCCAACCATTAACCTTGAGGTAGCATCTGTCTTTGAAATTGAGGTGTGTTGCTTATATGCAGCAGAAGGATGGATTCTGTCTTTGTATCCATTCTGTTAGCCTGTGTCTTTCTATAGATGAGTTACGACCATTAATATTCAGGGATATTAATGACCATTGATTGTTGTTGATTCTTGTTTGCTTTGGATCTGTTTTGGTGATGGTTTTATATGTGAGTTTTTCTCCTATTTCTAGTTTCTGGTAAAGTAATAATATCTATTGCCCTTGTTATTTTGAGTGTAGTTAACTTCCTTGGGTTGGAGTTTTCCTTCTACAACTTTCCATAGGGCTGGATTTGTGGCTACGTATTGTATAAATCTGGTTTTGTCATGGAATATCTTGTTTTCTCCATCTATAGTGATTGAGAGTTTTGCTGGGAATAGTAGTCTGGGCTGGAATCTGTGGTCTCTTAGTGTTTGTAGAACATCTATCCAGGACCTTCTGGCTTTCATATTTCCATGGAGAAGTCAGGTGTAATTCTGATAGGTTTGCCTTTATATGTTACTTGGCCTTTTTCCTTTGCTGCTTTTAATATTCATTCTTTATTCTGTATGTTTGGTGTTTTGATTATTATGTGGCAAGGGGACTTTTTTTTGGTCCAGTCTATTTGGTGTTCGGTAAGCTTTTTGTAGTTTCATAGGCATCTCCTTCTTCAGGTTGGGAAAATTTTCTTCTTTGGTTTTGTTGAATATGTTTTCTGCACCATTGAGCTTTGCTTCTTCACCTTCTTCTATACCTATTATTCTTAGATTTGGTTTTTTCATGGTGTCCCATATTTCCTGGATTTATTGTGTTAAGTTTTGTTGGATTTAAGCCTTTCTTTTGTCGATGAATCTATTTCCTCTAGTTTATTGTCAGTGCATGAGATTCTGTCTTCCATCTCTTGTATTATGTTAGTTATGCTTGCATCTGTAGTCCCTGATTGTTTTTTCAGCCTTTCGATTTCCAGCATTACCTCAGTTTGTGTTTTTCTTATTGTCTCCATTTTGGTTTTCAGGTCTTGAACTGTTTGAACTGTTTCCTTCATCTGTTTGATTGTTTTTTCTTGGCTTTCCATGCTTTCTTTAAAAGATTTGTTGATTTTCTTACGTTTTTTGGTTTGTATTTTCTTCCATTTCTTTAAGAGATTTTTCTCGTATCCTCTTTGTGGGCCTCTATCACTTTCAGGAGGTTGTTTTGAAGGTCATTTTTTTCTGTTTCATCTGTGTTGATATGTCCAGGTCCTGCTGGTGGTGTAGAGTTATTAGACTCTGGTGGTGTCATACTGGTTCCTCTGTTGTTGGCTGTGTTTTTATATTGCCTTCTTCCCATCCTTTCTTTCAGTGGGAGCTCAT